GGAGGAGGGAGGAGGGAGGAGGGAAGAGGGAGGAGGAGGAGGAGGAGGAGGAGGAGGAGGAGGAGAAGGAGAAGAAGAAGAAGGAGGAGGACACAGCAAGGAGGACCTCGCGCCCCCCCCAGGTTGCGAGGTGCGGCGGGGACGGCAGCCGCGTCTTCCTCGGCGGCGTGTCGCAGGGCCGGGCGTGGGGGGGGGGGCGGGGCGTCGAGGTGCGTCCCAAGGGCGACTTCCTCCCACGCCCTCTTCGACGGGGGACCCTCTTTCGACCTGCACCCTGCACCCGCACAGCTGTACGGCCTCAAGCCTGCAGCGTCCAACCCCCCACTCCCACCTCCACCCATCGAGCTCCGGGCTACACCAGATCAACACTCCGACATCCAGCCTCCAGCACCCGACGCTCCACACCGCGTCCACACCGACCGCTAGTTCGCCCCGGCGGCCTCCTCCCCCGCCCCCTTCGATGGGGAGCCTTCTTTCGACCTCCACCCTGCACGCGCACAGCATCACGGCCTCCAGCCGGCAGCGCCCGGCTTCCCACCACCACCCAGTTAGCTCCAGGCCACACCAGGTTCAGGTTTCACCAGGACGGACCCGTGGATAATGACCGCATGAGGCGTGAGGTCCGCAGAGAGATGTGCAGTGCACGTCAGGAGGGTCAGATGGCACGGATTACAAGTGGTCGAGCCCAGATGGTGCAGCACATTGTCTTCTGCGTCACCAGAACGCTGCGTGATACCATCGGCGGGAGTGGCCTCGCGCATTGGAGGAGGAGGAGGAGGAGGAGGAGGAGGAGGAGGAGGAGGAGGACGAGACGGAGACGGAGACGGAGACGGAGACGGAGACGGAGACGGGACGGAGACGGAGACGGAGACGGAGGGGAGGAGGAGGGAGGAGGAGGAGGAGGAGGAGGAGGAGGAGGAGGAGGAGCAGGAGCAGGAGGAGGAGGAGGAGGAGGAGGAGGAGGAGGGAGGAGGCGGGCGGATATGAGGAGGAGGAGGAGGAGGAGAAGGAGGGAGGAGGAGGAGCAGAGGAGCAGGAGGAGCAGGGAGGAGGGCGAGGAGGAGGAGGGGAGGAGGAGAGGAGGAGGAGGAGGAGGAGGAGGAGGGAGGAGGCGGAGGAGGAGGTAGAGGGAGGAGCAGGGAGGAGGAGAAGGAGTAAGTTAAGAGGAGGAGGAGGAGGAGGAGGAGGAGGAGGAGGAGGAGGAGGAGGAGGAGGGAGGAGGAGGCGGAGGAGGAGGGAGGAGGAGGAGGAAGAAGAAAAAGAAGACGAAGATGAAGACGAAGGAGAAGAAGGATACGAAGACGAAGAAGAAGAAGAAGACGGAGACGAAGACGAAGAAGAGCAGGAGGAGCAGGAGGAGGCAGGAGGAGGGGGAGGAGGAGCAATACTCACTACCCCTTCACCTGCACAGCATGACGCCCCCCAGCCCACGGGGCTCGACCTTCTCTTCCCTTACCACCTCTTCATATCGAGCTCGCGACTTCTCAGGAGGGGAAAAACACACAGAGACACACTCAATCGTCGACCCGAGGAAAATATGGGAAGCGGGGGGGGAAGACGAAACCCAGGAAATACGGAAAGGACATTGTAGATCTTGGGATGTGTGTCTATAGGTGTGTGTCCTTTGGCGCCTTCAATTTCATCATATCAACATTCCGACATCCAGCATCCAGCAGACATCCAGCCTCCAGCATCCCGTGTTTCACATCACGTCCACATCGACCACCAAGTATCCCAGGCAACCTCCTTGGGGAGCCCGCTTACCACCTCCACCCTGCTCCCGCACAGCATTACGACCTCCAGCCTACATCGTCCGACCTTCGAGCGCCAGACTACACCAGATCGACACTCCGACACCCAGTCTCCAGCATCCGACGTCCACACCACGTCCACATCGATCACCAGGTCGCCCAGGCGACCTCCTCCACCGCCCTCTTCGATGGGGACCCCCCTTACGACCTCTACCCTTCACCCATACAGCATTACGACCTCTTCCCCAGTGTCCAACCTTCCACTCCCAGCTTCCATCGAGCGCCAGACTACACCAGATCGACACTCTGACATCCAACCTTCAGCATCCAGCTTCCACACCACGTCCACGTCGAGCACCAGGTCACCCAGGCGACCTCTTCCCCCCCCGCCCTCTTCGATGGGGGTCCACGATCTCTGATCGAAGAGGAAGAGACGACATAGACAAGATTTCGGAGCTCCGCGCGGATTATGTAGATCGGCGTTGGGCCCCCCTGGCGACGCCTCCAGTGCCGCCCCTGGCGCGCTCCGCGCGCCAGGGAGAGGGGCCCAGCGCAGATCCAAAAAATCTGCGCGGACCTCCGAAAGCTTATGTTTGCGTTTGTTTTTTGCTTAACGAACCACCAACATTGAGCCGAACATCCCGAAGGACGTGTGGGCAGAAGAGTGCGACGTTGCAGAGTGATTGCGTGCAAGAGAAGGAGGAGGACGAGAGGACGAGGAGCAGGCGAAGTGGAGTTACCATCAAACACAGAAGTCACCCAATGTTGGGAGGGGAGGGGACGAACATACTAGGAACGCCACGGGAGTTGCTGAGTGAAAGGGTGGTCATAAGCGGATGTCAAAGTGGGTCATAGTTGGCCCAGCTTGGCGTATAAGTGGGCTACAAGTGCACCAAGTGGCTGAAGGGATTGTGACTATCGCAAAATGGGGTCTGCCTCCGTAGCGGAGTTGCGCACCCTTTTCTGAGCCATATTGTGTGTTTGCAACCCTAGTACGATCAGGCCAGGCCAGATACAGTTCACTTTGGTATCAGCTTGTAGCCTCCCGATCCACTTAGCACCCCCGCCTCGGCAAGACTTCGGTGAACGCATGTGGGAGCAAGAAGAGGAGGGGGAGGAGGGGGAGGAGGAGGGGGAGGAGGAGGAAGAAGGAGGAGGAGGAGGAGGAGGAGGAGAGGCAGGAGGAGCAAGAAAGAGGAGGAGGAGGAGGAGGAGCAGGAGGAGGAGGAGGAGGAGGAGAGAGGAGCAGGAGGAGGAGGGGAGGAGGAGGGGGGCTCGGGACCAGAGGTGGTCCCGGAGGACCAGGAGGGTCCCGGACCAAGTTCGCGGGGGGGGTCAGGACTGGGGGACTCCTGGACTGGGGTCCCGGACCAGGGGTGTGTCCCGGACTGGGAGGAGTCCGGGACCGGGGGGTGTCTCAGATTGGCTGCCCTATAAGGGTGGTGTCCTGAACCGGAGAAGTCCCTCGTCGGGAGGAGTCCGGGACCCGGGGGGTCTGGGGTCTCGGACCGGGAGGGGTCTGGGATTGGGGATGGTCAAGAACCGGGGGGGGTCCCGGACCGGGGGGGCTCCTGGACGGGGAGGGCTCCCGGACCGGGGGGTCCCGGATCCGGGACAGGGGGGGGGTCCTGGACCAGGGGTGGCCGGGACCTCGGGAGGTCCAGGACCGGGGGGGGGGCTCCAGGACGGGGGTCGGAGACCGGGAGGGGTCCTGCCGGACCGGGGGAGGTCGGGGACCGGGAAGGGTTGGGGTACGGGGGGATCGTCGGCTTGCGGTCTTGAGTGGGCTGAGTTGGGAAGTCTGGTTCGGTTCATGCCGGTTCGGTTCGGAGGGCCACCCGGTTCCGGTTCAGTCCCGGCTCTGGTTCGGTTATGTTCCCCTGTCGGTTGGGTACGGTCACAGTTCTCGGTTCTCGGTTCGGTTTGGTCTTCTCATGTTTCTCACCACGAACCAGGAGATCGCAAAGGGTCCCCGATTCGAATTGCGCCCGACGTCTCGTCGGACTTCCCTCGGGATCGCGGTTTTGCGGTCCGCGGTCCGGTTCTTGTGCGTGGCGCGGTGCCGCATGCTTCGCGTTGCACGGCCCATGGGACCTTCACGATTTACGTGTTTGCCTTGCGTGTGGAGTGGTCTGACAAGTTGTTCATCGATTGTTGACTTTCACTGCCATCGGCCCGCTGAAAAGAAAGAGCTACTGCGATTTGGAAGCTCGAAAGCGCGAGAAGCCAAAAGCATTTAACAACATTACAATGGCGAAGAACCCAACCCATTGCAAACACGTTGCGGATATTCGCATGGAGGGGTGTGCCGACATGGGCGGGGTGGCGCCATGCGAACGGAGCCCTTGTGCCTTGGGTGGAGCTCCCAAGGGGATCACGAAACGTGTGAGGTGCCGATATGGGTCGGGTCGGCGCTATGCGAGCGCAACTTCTGGGGCCTTTGGTGGAGTTCCCTACTGGGCTACGACACGTGTGAGGGGTCTGTCGACGTGGCCATGCCAACGCAGCCATTGGGGCCTTGGGTGGACCTCCCCATGGGGCCTCGAGGCGTGTGAGGTTTGTGCCGAAATGGACGAGGTGGAACCATGCGAACGCAGCTCTTGGGGTCTTTGCCGGAGCTCCCTGTTGGTCCACGAAACGTATGACTAGATGTGCCGGAATGGGCGAGGTGGCGCCATGCGGACGCAGCCACTGGGGCCTTGAGTGCAGGTCCCGATGGGGCCACGAGGCGTGTGAGGTTTGTGCCGAAATCGGCGAGGTGGCGCCATGAGAACGCAGCCACTGGAGCCTTTGCTGGAGCTCCCTACGTTCCTCGGAACGTGTGAGGATGCGCCGAAATGGGCGAGGTGGCGCCATGCGGACGCAGCCACTGGGGTTTTGACTGGAGCTCCCTGAGGGTCCATTAAACGTATGAAGTGGTGTGCCGAGATGGGCGAGGTGACGAAGCCACTAGGGCCTTGAGTGGAGCTCGCTATGGGGCAACCAAGCGAATGTGCCGAACAGGGGGGAGCTGGCGCCATGCGGACGCAGCCACTGGGACCTTGGGTGAACTTCCTCATGAAGCCACGAAGCGTGTGAGGGTTGCTCCGGAATTATGATGATATTGATGGGTGTGACGATGATGGTGGTGATGATGATTGTGGTGATGGGGGGAAGGGAGGGGAGGATGACGAAGAAGTGGAGGGAGGGATGAGTGAGGAGGACGAGGAGAGGAGGCAAGGGGCAGGAGGAGCAGGTGGCGCGCGGCGCCGCGAAGTCAAAGCGAGGACCCAGCACACAGGAGAGTTGGAAATAACCCTCCTCCGCCTCCTCCTCCTCGTCCTCCTCCTCCTCCTCCCTCGCCCTCCTCCTCCTCGTCCTCCTCCTCCTCCTCCTCCTCCTCCTCCTCCTCCCCCTCCTCCTCCAACTCCTCCTCCTCCTCCTCCT